TGATAAAGTGTAGGATCATCAAGTTTTGTACCATCAGTACGAGAAAGTGTACCTTTCGAAGCCATGGGTGTGGAAACAGGTTTACAGTCCAAGAGATTGATGCGTTTGAGGAGATCAACTGTATATTTGTTCTAAGTAAGATGGAGAGAATCTGTGTGATAATTAACCTCCACGCCAAGAAAATAATGCAAACGCCCCAAATCTTTGATGTCAAATTCTGCTCCCAGTGTGCGAATAAAGGTGTTAATATGAGAAGAATCACTGCCAGTCAGAATAATATCATCCACATACAATAATAAAATCAAAACACGAGAATTATCCTGATAAACAAACATGGAGGTGTCAGCACGACTTTAACAGAAACCAAATTGTACAAGGAAAGAACTAAAACGTTGAAACCATGCCCGTGGAGCTTGCTTGAGACCATAGATGGCCTTATGAAGTTTGCACACATGGTGAGGACGATCAGGATCAACAAATCCCGAGGGTTGTCGCATGTAAACTTCTTCAGAGAGAGAACCATGCAAGAATGCATTTTTGACATCGAGCTGCCGAATGGACCATCGAAAAGAAACAGCCAGACAGTGAACGGTGCGAATCGTTGTAGGCTTGACGACAGGGCTGAAAGTATCAAAATAATCAACTCCAGACTGTTGATGAAACCCTTTGGCAACGAGACATGCCTTGTACCGTTCAAATGTGCCATCAGATCGTCGCTTAAGTTTGAAAACCCATTTGCAACCAACCGTATTGATGGAATTATGGGGAGGGACCATGGACCAGGTACCCTGTTGAATAAGTGCATTATATTCGTCGAGCATGGCCTGTTTCCATTCGGGAGATCGGGATGCTTGTGTGTAGCAAGTAGGTTCAACATTCATGTCCACTGAGGCAGCAAAAGCATGAGGAACGGGATACCGAGTAGTGAAGTTGGCCTGGTATTTAGGATTGGGCTTAAAAATGTCGGTCTTCGAACGAGTGACAACGGGACTGCGAGGTGGTGGAGCAACAGCGGAAGGACCATGGTCTGTAGAGTATTCTGCGGTAGTGGTTGGCAGTATGGAATTTTGGGATGCAAAGAGTTGATGTTGAGGCGGCACAGTGTGATCAGGGACAGGTGGGACAGATGGGACTGCAGGTGGTGTCGGGTCCGCTGCAAAAGGCTCGGCAGGAGGACAGCTGGATGCAGATGGCTCGGTAGGAAGGGGACAGCTGGAGGATGCTGGGCAAGTGGCTGATTGAGTTGGTGGGTCTCACTGCAATTGCATGGGACTTGGGACACGTTGCGGGGCAGATGGCTGAGAAGATTGATTAGGCAAGAAGCCTACAGGAACAACGGCAAGTGGTGGAGAGGAAATTGATAAAGGGGCAGCTGCATAATAAATGTGATCTTCATGAAAAATGACATGCCGTGAAATGTAGAGGCGTCCAGTAGGTGGATGTAAGCATCGATACCCACGATGTTTATCACTGTAACCAACAAAAACACACTGGAGAAAACGAGGTTGTAATTTGTTAGACACATAATCTTCAAGATATGGATAACACAAGCCCAAAAAAATTCGAAGCATTTTATAGTCTGGGGAATGGCCAAATAAGGATTGGTATGGTGAGATCCCATGAAGAACAGGCATAGGAAGTCTATTAATTAAATAGACTGCCGTGCAAAAAGATTCAGCCCATAAGGTGTGAGGCATATGAGCAGTATGTAAAAGAGTACGACCCATATCGACAATATGACGATGTTTGTGTTCAGCCAATCCATTTTGTTAGGGTGTATGAGGACAAGAAAAACGATGCACTATTCCATTAGTAGCACAAAAATGCTTAAACTGCAGGTTGTCATATTCCTTACCCCCATCACTCTGGAATTGTTTAATAGACAAAGAGAATTGATTTTGAACAGACATAACAAAAGTTGAAAAATGATCAAAGACTTCTGACTTCTGACGCATGGGAAAGATCCACGAATATCGAGTGGAATCATCAGTAAATAGGACATAATAACGATAACCAGAGACAGAAAGAACAGGAGACATCCACACATCCGAATGAATTAAATCAAATGGTGCAAGGGAACGGTGTTCATGAGGCGAAAAGGAAAGTTTTATTGATTTAGATAACGCACAATGGCTACAATTTGAATGCAATAAACGAGAAGTAGAACCTAACAAGGATTTAGAAACTAGTGAATCAAGCACTTTGTTGGAAGGAATCAAGCACTTTGTTGGAAGGATGACCAAGACGACGATGCCAAAGAGACGAAGACACGGCAACGGAAGAAAATGCTGTCTTGGGGCCAGTCAGGAGTGTAGGAAAAATGGGATAAAGGCCATCTTTACATAGGCCCTGAAAAAGAAGAACACCAGTTTGTAAGTCACGAATGTGATAACCCCAAGGAAAGAAAGTAATACTGACATGCATATCATGTGTAAACTGAGCAACTAACAAAAGATTTTTATGAAGAGAAGGAACACGAAGAACATCAGAGAGACGAAAAACATAAGTGCCAGAAGAAATCAAAACATTACCAGACTGAGTGATGGGGAGCGTGTCACCATTACCAATAACAACATTATCACTTGGTGCAGATGAGTTAACGGAGGGAAACAACTTAGCATCATATGTCATGTGATTTGTAGCACCGGAGTCCCAATACCAGTTGGGATCGGAAGAGGAAGCAACATGTATGCCGGCAAAGGGACGAGATTGAGGACACTTGGCTTGAACATGTCCAAATTGGTGGCAATGCTAACATTGGACCGGCTGAAGAGGTGGAGGAGGACCCAAAAGACCTTGAGCATTGAAGGCAGGGCGTTGGTGATGATAGAAGTTTTGTGGAGGCCCAGTAAAGGAACGAATAGGTGGCCGTGGACCAGAGGTATCACGAGCACAGAATGAGCGCTGGCCACGCGGTGGACGTGTTGCGAGCATGGCAGAATGTGAGTGTGTAGGATTGAGTTGGGCTGCAAAGGCTTGTTGCCCCTCAAAAGCAAGCAATTTGGTGCGAAAGTCAGAAAAATGTGGAAGTGGTGGAAAATTTAGAAGAGCCGTTACAAGCATCTGGTAGTCAGGTCCTAGACCACGAAGAACATAAGTAACCAAGTCAGAATTGGACACAGGTTCTTGGATAGCAGTGAGTTCATCAGCCAAACTTTTGGCCTGGGCAAAGTAGTCATAAATAGTTTTAGAGCCTTTGATGAGAGAGAAGAGACGAAATTTCAGTTGGGCAGCATTGGCTAGAGATTGCTACGAGAAATTTTGCTGGAGACAATCCCATATATCTTTCGAGGTGGAGAACCCAATGACTTGAGGAAGAACAGCTTTAGACAATGTGGCACGAAGAATACTAATAAGGCTTTGATCGGTTTGGAACCAAGATGTGTATTTAGGATTGGGTGTAGGTGGAGGAGGAGTAGTAGTTTTGTCATCACTTGAAGAAGAGGGCAAAGTAGAGGGAGGACATGGAAAAGATCCATCAACAAAACGCCAAAGATTTTGGCCTAGCAAGAAAGGTTTGACTTGACTTTCCCACACAAGATAGTTGGTTTCAGAAAGTTTGACAGAGACAAGATGAGAGATATTGGGAATAGAGATAGGGGAAAAGGCTGAAGAGGACGCACTACCTGAAGCCATGGCAGAAAAAAAAACTTCAGGCTCTAGATACCATGTAGAAACTGTATATTCAATATATATTGATTTGATATTACAACCTATATTTATACAAAAACTATCAGATATCTTCCTAGTAATTACTATGAAACGGAAAACCCATTATATTCTAATAAAAGCTAATAACAACATAACAGCTAAAACAATAATGTATTGCCATTGAAGACCCTTAACTATGGTAACTCCCGTAACCCCTTAACATTGTAGAATGCGTATCCCATCAAACAATAGATTCACTAACACTTAAAAGTTTATTTGTACTTTCATTAAGTATAACATAAAGATTTTGTGCTATCCACTAGTGTAAATATTTTAAATTGAAGATCGAATTCGTTCATTATATTCATATAGGGTCAAAGAGTGTAGCCGTAAAAAAACATCAAAATTGAAGTTAAAATAACTGTTAAATCGTGATTATTCGTTTATAACTGTCGAAAAGTTTTGTCCCATTACTTGATCTTTGAATGTTTGTTTTTTAGGATTTTTGCCTTATACGATCTCGAAGTATATACAAACAAGTTTGATGGTTGGATCGTTGAAACTTATTTCGTAGAATGTGTATCCCATCAAGTTCAATAGTATATATATAGGTGTGTGTATATATATATATATTTATTAAGTAGCTTTAAATTTATTTATTTTGTACGTATAATACTTAAGAAATTGAAAGGTATGTATATTTATTAAGTAGCTTTAAATTTATTACTGTAGTTTGGATCGGGTTTTTGTTAGAAAAAATATATTATTGTGGATTTTATGTAAAAAAAAATTGAATTTGAAGAGAGTAAAGTCACATTTTTAGTAAATTTTATAATATATATATATATATTTTTCAAGGTTTTAAAAAACGTTAGGCGCTAGTCGGGCGGCAGGCTGGCGCCTAGCGCCTAGGCGGCTAGGCGGGCTCCTAGGCAGCTTAGGCGGATTTAGGTAACTTTCTTGTATATCTTGTAAATAAGTGCATATTGACACTTACAAAAAATTATACTTGTATGAAATACATATATCCAACAAGTCCAAAATTTAAAAACACATTGAGCATATATGCCATATAACCATAGTGAGGAGTATTGTAGGATGACACATGTACAACAAGTTCACAATTTCATTAAAAATAAAAATAAAATTAAAATACCGCCTAGCTCCGCCTTGCACCGCCTAGCCCCGCCTAGAGCTCATTTGATTTTTCCCACCGATTTGCAAGAAAACGCCTCGGCTCACCACCGCCCAGCATCTAGACGACGCCTAGGCCGTTTTTTAGGACATTGATTTTTTTAAATAAAACTTGCACGACGTTTGAATATATACCTGCATCGTGCATGTTGTTAAAATTCCAGCTGTAAAAAATAGGCGCTTATTTTGAATTTTCCCAAATTACTCTGGCAAAATGGAAAAGAGTCCTTCCTCCTCAACTGACTACCTGATCTCGCCCTGTCTCTCACTCCGTCTCGCGTAGCCTGCCTCCCGACTGCACCGAGCCAGCCTCCTCCTCATCCTCTCCTCATCCTCTCCCGTAGCCTTCCCCCTCGCCTTCCGATCAGTCTCCAAGCCCCAACAGCTCTCCCATGACGACGAGGACTTGGATTCTGATTGCGTTGAGATTAAACACGAATTGGAGGACGATGATTCTAATTGCGTCGTTATTAAGAACGAATTGGAGGACGACGAGGCGGACGAGGTTTAATGGAAAAGAAATGGTATTTGCACATTGCAATCTGACCAAGGTAAGACTAGAAACAACTAAGAATTGAAATCAATTAATAATTTCATATGTTTCTTGATTAAGTTCCTTGGATTACTATTGATTTTGTAGTGGAACTCATGCTTTTATTAATTTTTTTAGATTTTAGTTTTGTTGACTTGAAAAAGCTGTTAACTGGTGAAGATAGAGATTTGATTGGCTACATGAAATCCATTTGGGACCCTTTATTTTGAGACGCTTAAAATCTGATGTTATGCAACAACTTCACGAGCTCGTATTGCAAAAACTTCAGAGGTTTCCTCGAACAGTATTCTTAAGGTTCTTCCTCGACGGCAGATCTCCAACTATTTTGTTCAGTTTCATAAGGTGCGCCTGTCTCGACTTTCGTGTTTTTGATATCCCAGTTTTGTGTTCAGATTGTATGTATGTTTGCTTATTATTCTTTCTTTTCTCATTCTCTAGATTGCAAATCATCCCTTACTAGTAAGGCGTATTTACAGTGATGAGGATGTTCGTTTTGCCAGAAAGTTACATCCAATGGGTGCATTTGGCTTTGAATGTACCTTAGACAAAGTAATTGGGGAACTTAAGAATTATAGTGACTTCTCTATCCATCGGGTATTTTCTCAACTTCTTGAAAATGAATTTGTCTTTCAAATTTTCATGCATTACTATCAATGTTTTGGAACGATTTGATTATCTGGGGCGTACAGTGTTCGTGTGGCTGTGTATGTGTGTAGCAGATTACATATTGTATGTTGATATTGTGTATGTTCTCTCTCTCTCTCTCTCTCTCTCTCTCTCTCTCTCTCTCTCTTTCTCTCTCTCTGTGTAGCTTTTGCTGTATTATGGTGTCTCAGATAAGAAAGGATTGCTTCCAGACAAATATGCATTGCTTTCTTCAAAATCTCAGGTATAATGCTACTTGAATAACTTCACTAGCCAATTGGTCTGAGTCAAAATTTGGAGAGAGTTGTCATGTGATACTCTCTGCTCAAAACTGAGGAGAGTTTTCTTGTTGATGATATTAGGCATTGGCTGAACTTCTTCCTTCACTGAAGCTAGCTGGGCATCGTGTTCTGATTTTCGGCCAGTGGACGTCAATGCTTGATATTTTGGAGTGGACTTTGGATGTGATAGGTGTTACATACAGACGACTTGATGGAAGGTACTGGTGTACTTTTGTCACATTTACAGACTGTTTTTATCATAAGAAAATGTGCCATGTCACATGGTATATCTGTTTTATTATCTGGCTTGCTCAGTTCCACTTGTTGATTGTGGTTAATTGAATTGTTACCTCATCTGTTCTAAGTTGCGTTTCTTGTCTGTTAACCCGTATCTTCCCAATGTCAGCACTCAGGTGACAGAAAGACAGACGATAGTTGATACACTCAATAATGACACTTCTACATTTGCTTGCTTGCTGTCCACAAGAGTTGGAGGTCAGGGTTTGAACTTGGTTGGAGCTGATACCGTAGTTATTCATGACATGGATTACAACCCGCAAATTTATCGACAGGCAGAAGATCGTTGTCATCGCATCGGCCAAGTGAAGCCTGTTACCATATACAGGTTAGCCCCTCTTTAATTTCCCAATCTCCCTCCTCACCTATACTTACCAATCTGAGAGAAGCACCTTTCAGGTTTACCCCCCACCCCTTCTTCCCTGCTTTTATAAAGTGGTATTGGTATGAGTCATAATCTTCTATAGAAAATTGTAGAATTATAACCTGTCATGTCCTTTACAGGCTAGTCACTAAGGCTACAGTTGATGAAAATGTCTACGAGATTGCGAAAAGGAAGTTAGTGCTAGATCCTGCAGTCCTGGAATCTGGCGTGGAGATGGATAATGAAGGTGACACTTCCACCATGGGAGAGATATTATCGAAACTTTTGCTTGGTTAAAAATTTTAGAAAACTTACAGTCAATCTGTCGATAGAGAAATTGCAACTGGAAACCTTTGTAATTTAGTGTTTGTAATTTTCTAGTCACACCTTCGACCTCCAAGCCAATTCGCCTAGCTGATACCCAGTAGCCTGATGCATCAAGCCTAGAAGACTACTTGTAGTCTTTTCTTTTATGTTTGAACATCTTGTATGTACATTTTCATATATTTTATAATTAAATACTTTTTCTTGGTTTATTAATTATTGTTTATAATTTAATTACAAAATCGGTGAGGAGCAAGGCGGCCTCCTAGGCGCTCCCTAGGCGCTCTAGGCGATCAAGGCGGCGCTTGGTAGCATGTCTAGGCGGACTGAATCTGGTCGTTTTCCATCGCTGGCTCTGCAACTCTCACCGTCTCGAACTCCCGTCTTCTGCTCTATGCATAATTCTCTCTTCATCGTATTCTGCTCTGCTCTAAATCGTGACATCTCGTCTACAAATCTCGCAACGCCGAACTCGAAGAATAAGAGAGGTTACAAAGACAACTAAAGAAGACGATGTGAGAGGAAAATTGAAGAAGATGTGAGAGAGAAAATGAAAAGGAAATGGAAAAACAAAGTAAGAGCTTTTCGCTTTCCAAGACGTCAAAAGGTTTTGCGTGTACTCATCACACTTCTTACAGTTATGTCTACCACTAGGCCTTATCATCAAAAGCAAGAATTGATTTCTTTAATATTTTTTACACTATTTGATCTCATATATTGCAATTGAAACTTGAGGTAATGTGAAAGAGGTAAGTGAATGGGCTCCACCTATGGGATTGGTGTGGGAAAGGTGGGGTGGAGTTGTAACTATGTAAGTATTTCTTTCTAAAATAAAATTAAAAACTATATTTTTTTTATTTTTTTAGTCAAACTATCTTAAATTACTATATTTATATATAAATTATTTGATGTTATTATATTTTTTGTAGTAAAATTTAATTAATTTATTCAAATTTACTTAAATCTGCCTAGACTCCGCCTAATTCCCGCCTAGCCGCCTAGGCACTAAGCACTACTCTACTGCTCGACTAGCGCCTAACATTTTGTAGAACCTTGTATTTTATTCACTTAAATAGAATTTATTAACTTGTCTATATAATTTTGGCAAATTTTGATTTGGTCTCAAGTGTTTGAACTATTTTGTCGGTTCTTATCACTAGTACAAAAAACAGTTTGTGCGATGCAAGTAACTTTGTCGCCAAAGTCAAAAAGCATTGCCTGAAAATTAGCCCAACAACATCTTCGTCGTGCACAAACCATTGCGCAAAGTTTGTGAAAGCAGGGTTTGCGCGACGAAGAGATAACATGCGTCGCACAAAGTCCTTTTGCGCGATTACAGGAACTCCATTGTGCAAAGATCTTTTGCGCGACGCATGTTATCTCTTCATTCCGCAAACCCTGCTTTCACAGACTTTGCGCAATGGTTTGCGCACGACGAAGATGTTGTTGGGCTAATTTTCAGGCAATGCTTTTTGACTTTGCGCGACAAAGGTACCTGAGGTACCTGCATCACACAAATTGTTTTTTGTACTAGTGATAAGAACCGATAAAATAATTCAAACACTTGAGACCAAATCAAAATGTGCCAAAATTATATAGACAATTTAATAAATTCTGTTTAAGTGAATAAAATACACAGTTCTACAAAACGCTAGGCACTAGTCGGGCGGTAGACTAGCGTTTAGCGCCTAGGCGACTAGGCAAGGATTAGGCAGAGTCTAGGCAGATTTAAGTAAATTTGAATAAATTAATTAAATTATACTACAAAAAATATAATAACATCAAATAATGTATATATAAATATAGTAATTTAAGACAGTTTGACAGAAAATAATAAAAAATTATAGTTTTTATTTTTATTTTAAAGAAACACCTACATAGTTACAACTCCACCCCACCTTTCCCACACCAATCCCATCGGTGGAGCCCATTCACTTACCTCTCTCACATTACCCAAAGTTTCAATTGCAATATATGAGATCAAATAGTGTAAAAAATATTAAAGAAATCAATTCTTACTTTTGATGATAAGGCCTAGTGGTAGGCATGACTGTAAGAAGTGTGATGAGTACATGCAAAACCTTTTGATGTTTTGAAAATCGAAAAGCCCTTATTTAGTATTATTTTTCCGTTTCCTCGTCCTTTTCTTTCTCACATCGTCTTCTTCAATTTTCCTCTCACATCGTCTTCTTCAGTTTTCTTTGTAATTTCTCTTGTTCTTCGAGTTCGGTGTCGCAAGACTTGTAGACGAGATGTCATGATTTAGAGCAGAGCAGAATATGATGAAGAGAGAATTATGCACAGAGCAGAAGACGGGAGTTCGAGACGGTGAGAGTTGCAGAGCTAGCAATGGAAAAGGACCAGATTCAGTTTGCCTAGATATGCCACTGAGCTCCGCGTTGATCACCTAAAGCGCCTAGCAAGCACCTAGGAGGCCACCTTGCTCCTCACCGATTTTGTAACCGATTTGTCCCAAATTGCCTTGGATAACAATCACCTAGCGCTTAGGCGCTGCCTAGAGCGATTTTTATAACATTGATAAAATATAATTATGTAATGATAACCCTTGCTTGCTATTTTCTCGCACCAACTTGTCTGCCCAATCTGTCAAATATGTATTCATTTTGGCTACCTTGGTTTGATGCTCATAAAACCATTTCTGAAGAATATGCATTCTTAAATACTCAAGAAAATGGGTGATAGGTAGTTTACGAGAATCTCTTGTGATTGCATTGAGACGTTCATTAATATTTGTTGTCACGGTATTGTACCGCTTTCCATCAAAGTACGCACAAGTCCACTTTTCATATCCAACCGAATTAAAATAATCACCCACCTCATAGAAGGCTTTATATATTTCTATCATAAGACGATTCAATTTAGGAACTCGATATGCCTTAGCAGCTGTAAAATATAGTTTGTGTACTCTCTTATGCTTAAAATTGTGCCAAAGGTTTTGACTTATATGGAATATGCATACACCATGATAGCATTGGGAAAAATAGTTGAGAGATCCTTTTGAATGCTTTCATGTCTATCAAAAACCAACACTAAGTCATCAATTTCCCCAATTGCTACCCATAATGTTGTCAAACACCAATTCTATGTCGCGTCATTCTCTGGATCTCCAACTCTAAATGCTAGAGGGTATATTTGTTTATTGTCATCCATGTGTGGCAATAAATAGAGTGCCAAGATATATACACTTTACAAATGTATCGTCGACCTCTATTACTAGCCTAATTGCACTTCGAAATCCTCTTATGCAAGGTCCAAGTGACATGAAATAGGTACAAAAAATGATTATTCTTATCCATTTCAATGTGTTATCGTACTTAGATTTTTTGCTTCTAAAATAGAAAAATAAGATGGAAGCAATGCATAAGATTCCTCTGGTGATCCGCTAACCAACTCCAATGCATGTTAGCTCTCCAACCCTTTACATAACTTATACTCACAACCATGTCCTTTTGTATAACTTCCATGATGTCACGTGGTCTATATACTCGTGATACACCCTCACACTTAGATTATATGCATTGACCAATAAGAGAACGACTTGCCTATCAATGATGGTGATTAATAACGTCTCACAAGCATGAGTGCATATTAACATATTTCTGACGTTGAAATATGATGATTGTCGTAATTTAGAAGATTATAGTTTCCACTTGCATCCATCACCGACACAACCAACTTCAACCTTTCTTTGTTGATCTCTTCACTTTGAGCTCAAAATTGTTCTTCACAGCATCAACACACTCTTTTTTTTTTTTTTTCCTTAAATCCTCCTTAGTCTCGTACAATTGGCTTACAACTATATCCCATCTGAATTGCACAAGTTCGTCATGTCTGATTTATGTAGAATATTTTTACCCTTGTGAACATCTGATTATTTAGAACTTGCTTCATCATATTGCAAATTAATAGGCACATCATCACATACTCATTAAATTCAACATTATCTTGGAACACATTATATGACTCCGTATGTGACATATTCTCAAATTCTTCATGATACGATGATTCCTCAAATTCTTGATTTCCAGAACCATTATCTGAATCATGTAGCACATTATCTTCCAAATCCCCTTGAGTAACAAAGTTGAGATCTGCTTGCAATGGATCGTCATTATCTACTGAAGAAAATACTTTATGCTTTAATGTAACACGCAATGGAATCTTCCAAGACCTCGAAAGGTTTTAAAAAATAAATGCAATCACATCATCATCATCAATTACATTTTCATGCCATGTAGTTTTCATTTCATTACATATGACTTTCATACTTATCTCATGCTCATTTGGGTCCACATTCACAATACCATGTACTTTTCTCTGAAGCTTGGCAAATGTAATTTTATCTGAAATAAGTAATCCTTTTGTTTTGCAATTTTTGGACATTGAGTCAGTCCACCTTCCATTATAGTTCACCAAAATTGCCAAACTAGACATTTTCCTAGCATATAACCAAAACAATAAGAAAAGAAAAAAGTGACAAATACATTGAAAAAAAAAAAGATTTAATATTGCCTAGATTATTAATACAATTAGTTGACAATTCCCAAGCCAAGATAAGAAGAATGAAAAAACAAAGAAAGAAAAATTGGCATTTCAAACAGTAGCAATTACTGATGTTGTAGTTGAACCTGGGACCATTTATAATATTGCTCCAATAATATTGTAAGCACGAAAACTTCTGGGACAACTTTCACCAAAATTTCGATATCTACAAATATATAAGTCAAAATGTGATTATGTTGGAACTAAATATGAAGCACAAATATTGCAAAGGTGTGGAAAACTAACTATGAATCACCAATAATCCAATCTGAACACGGACAACATCCTTAGGGTTAGTTTGGTATTGTTGAGCTTTTAAAAAAACAAAAAAAAAAAAACTACTTTTGCTATGCTATGAGTGACACACCCCGACCGAGATCAGGGCATGCTGGTCGTCACGTGGAAGTGACGTAACCATGTACACAGTACGGAAGCTAAAAAAAATAGTAAAAGTACGAATAAATAAAAACCCAGCTATACACAAAGTAATAACATACATCTACAATCGTAAGTGTGAGAAACAAAGTTCAGAGCACGGAAGACCTAATGCAGTCCGGGAGAAACAACACTAAATAAACACACCCAAAGGTGGTCCTACACTGGTGATAATCTGCCAGATAAGCCGGGAAAATCCTCTGGGGAGCCACTA